AACTTACTCGGACATGCTGCCTTCATTCTGCTCCTCAGCAGCACTGTCTGCTTCCTCTTCCCCATCATCTTCAACATGGTTAGCTCCTAAGTCATCGCTGTCATCAACCGGATCAAAGAAATCGTCGTATGTCAAGTCCCTAGAACTTTTCGTTGGCTAAGAAGGGGAGAGGGGGAAAAAAAACAAAACCGAACCAGAAAAAAAAAATCCAAGTAAGCCTAAACTGTTAAGACAGACAGAAGTCTAAGGATATCTTTTCTTTTAAAGTCTTTAGCAGTCAGGGAATAGCACTACTTGTGTAACAGTAACTCAGTTCAGTGAAGCATTAACCTGTGGTAGGGCGTCTTAGCAAAACTAATCTTTTTTACTAATATTTAAAGCATTCCGCCACTTAAATTCATTTCCAGTTTCAACACAAGCAGAAGTCAGAGCAACATATTTTGCAGACTACTTCTTGCAATCCATATACGCTCCTTTACATCTTGGGCATAGCTCTTACTTGCTAGAGAGAATTTCTAATAATATGAGTAACTGAGTAATAAAAGATTTATTTTTTAAACAAGTACTCAGCGATTTAACTTAAACCAGAGTTACAAAGCCATGTCCCTGAAAAAAGAAATTGCCAAAAGCCCTTTGCTCTGCCAGATGTCAATGCTGTGACATTATTTTTTTCCCCTTGGCTGGGTCACCTATTCTGCAGTTCTGCAAGGTCACTATTTCTTGTGACATACGGTCTCTTTCTTTGTTCATGCGAAAACCCAAGACCCATCTAAAGAGAGACTGGAATAGCAGGACGATATGTTCTCCTACACTAGAACATTTTGTTTTCAGATATTGATGCCAAATATATTACTAAAGTAAAGCTTCAGAAGTAATCATCAGTTACCTGATAGTTTCTACCGAGGCAGAAACTGGTAGTTTCTACTGAGGTCAACGGTTTGTAGGCACCCTAACAGATACCAGACCTTGATTTAAAGTAAAAGAGAAATAAGAAAATTAATCTACTAATATTCTTACTTTCGCTTCCTCATCATCCTCTTCTTCCTCATCATCTGAGATGATGTCTTCAAAATAATTAATATCTTCTTCCTCGTCCTCGCCATTTCCCTTCTCTGCATGTTCTAAGAAAGCTTCCATCTGAGCCAGCTTGAAAAACTTGTCATCCACTACAGACTTTCTTCCTGTTTTTTTCAATGTGGTTTCCTTGGCTGTTTTAGTCTGTTGTTCCAGGGCTTCAATATCAAAGTCAATGTCAGAATCCTCATCGCTGCAACTCTGCGTTATGCTTTCTCTGGCTTTAGTTTGCTTTTCCCTAGCTTTAGTTTCACCTTTTGTATAAACAGGCTTCTGTTCAGTTTCTGCTTCCATCACGTTGTCGTCCAGTTCCTGATCGCTGCTGCTCTCGGCATCAGAGCCATCCTCTTCCTGGTCTGAGAACAGGCAAAGATCTTCATCCTCGGCATCCCTTGCAATGGATTTCTTGAAGAAATCGAGAACTGCATTGTTCTGGAGCTCCAGTTGTTGCCAAATCTGTTCTTCATCAAAATTTTCTATCACCAGCTCTTTCAGAGGACCCCTGTGAACTCTATTATTTCCCAAACCTTTATTCAAATCATACAAAATCTTTGTTAATGCTCTGAAATCAGCAGCCAGTCCATCTTGCACACTAAGAGTAGGAAAGAAAAAAAAAAAAGAAAGAAGAAGTGCTTTAAAAAGTACAACGGTTCGTATTAATTTTTAATGTTCCATTTTGCAGGATTTACTAGCTTTCATTCATTTTACACCTTCCATTAAGTGAATCACGTGGTCACACTGCAGCTCTTTTTATACCTGCATAGGTACTTTGGTGCTACAGAATGGCACCCTTCAACAACTACTGCCGTTGCTTAACTTTCCACACATCTCTTCGAGTACTGCTACTCAACATTCCTAGAAATAAAGGCATAATTATCAAGCCTTTCTGTTTCACTAGGCTTTGCGCATGAAGCAGCAGGATTGACTGAATATTCCACCGTTCTCCAGCTGCATCTTATTGTATCTTGCCCATATTTAAGCATTCCAGATGCTCTGGGGAAGTAAACAATATATAGTGCTAAATAGCTCAACTATCCAAGCTACAGATCCTTGCCTTCCTCCACTGCATCTACATTTGGGTAGATTCGTCCAATTTTGAGGGTTTTTTTTCTCTTAAGTTACCAATGCTTTGACATAGCTGGTAGAAACAGAAACCTCCACTTCCTAATTCTCGAATGCTTAAGAGGGGAACAAGATCACAGAATCACAGAATTG